AGCCGGGGGTGGGAAGTTGGGTAGAGAGAGCATGGGGAGAAATGCCAGATATGGGTGAAGGGGAGGAAGGCAGCAAATCACACTGCCACGTGTGTACCTATGCAACTATCTTGCATGTAAAAAAAGATACTTCAGCAGAGAGGTAGATTAATGGGCACAAATACATAGTTTGATAGAAGAAATGAGATCCAATGTTTGACAAATTAGTAGGGTGACTACAGTTTACCATAATGTATTGTACATTTCAGAATAGTTAAAAGAGAATAATTTGAATGTTTCTAGCATAAAGACAAGACCAATATTTAAGGTGATGCAGTTCCCAATTACAATGATTTAATCTTTACAAATTATATTAATGTAGTAAAAATATCACATGTATCCCAAAAATATTTATATTATATGCCAATAAAGATAATTTTAACATAAATATTTCAGCAAATTAAAAACAGGACAAACAAAGCAAAGTGGACCTGACACCTGCTAGGGTATCTGTAGGTTCACTGTATTATTCGCTTTGCATCTTTCTTTTCTTTTTAAGATACTGTGTCATTCTGTCACCCAGGATGTAGTGCAGTAGTACAGTTATGGCGCACTGCAGCCTCAACCTCTCATGCTCAACCAATTCTCACACCTCAGCCTCCCAAAGTGCTGGGACCGCAGGTGCATGGCACCCTACGTGGCATCCCTCTGCATCTTTGTGTGTGCATTTATTTATTTATTTATTTGAGACAAAGTTTCGCTCTTTCACCCAGGCTGGAGTACGGTGGTGTGCACTACAACCTCCGACCCTGGGGTTCAAGCAATTCTCACTGCCTCAGCCTCCCAAGCAGCTAAGATTATAGGCATGTGCCACCATGCCCGGCTAATTTTTTTATTTTTAGTAGAGATGGGTTTTCGCCATGTTGACCAGGCTGGTCTCAAACTCCTGACCTCAGGTGATCCACCCACCTTGGCCTCCCAAAGTGCTAGGATTACAGGTATGAGCCAGCGCACCTGGCCCTTTGTGTGTGCATTTAAAAGAATTAATTATGGAAGTATTTCCAAATGCATATGATGTATATGGTGGGGACCCCTCTGCTGCTCCCTACACAACTAGGAGGTCAAACTGCATCACAGAGCAACAAGGCAGACCCTCCAGGTTCTGCCTCTTGACATCCCCACCAGCACCACCTGAGGCCCTTTCCAGTCCGATACACCTGAGACAAACTAAACCACTGAAGACCCCTAAGTGCTTTGACCCTGGCATGAGCTATCATGATCATTTAGAACACCCTCCTCTGCCAGATTCTCTCTTCAGTTTCATTCTATCCACCTGGCATTCTTCTTCTAGCCTAGCTAAACTGCTTCCTTCTCTCGGGCAGTCCAGAACTCTACACTCCAACTCCAAGCTGAGCTGCTAACTCTCCCACTTATATCACAATATGTAACATTAAGTACTTGAAATATTTGCTCTTATCTATCCTAGACTATGAGCTCCTTGAAGGCAACAGTCCTGGGCTAGAGTAGGCATGCTGTAAATGATTGCAAAGTAGAGTGAAGAGGCAGGGCAGCCAAGACAGTTTTAGAGACTTTTAAGTAGTTCAAACAAACAAGCCAGCACATGGTGGAGGTGGAGGGATGGCTGGTGATGGAGTGGAGAGGGGTATTAGGGTTATTATTATCAGGCTAGACCTGAGAAGTACATACAGAAATAAAAAGGAACCAACAAGACACTCAGTGGTTTTGAGCAGAGGATTGAACAAGAGAGACATGTCAAGAAAACCCCTTCCACTAGCATACTTCCACATGGAAGGAGTCCTGGCTTTTCTCCCCACCCTGCTTCCCTTGAAAGTCATGCTTCATTTCACTAGGATCTATCTTTCGGAGAGGGAGTGCACGCTGGCCTACATCCATACCACACTGAGGCTGAGTGCTTCCATGAAAATGCTTTGCCTCTAGAGGGGCCTGGAGACATCAAGAATAAATGAGTAGGCCAGGCACAATGGCTCACACCTGTAATCCCAGCCCTTCGGGAGGCTGAGGTAGGCAGTCAGGAGTTCGAGACCAGCCTGGCCAACATCTGCCATCTCTACTTAAAAAATAGAAAAATTAACCATGAGTGGTGGTACATGCCTGTAATCCCAGCTACCCAGGAGGCTGGGGCACAAGAATCGTTTGAACCTGGGAGGTGTAGGTTGCAGTGAGCCAAGATTGCGCCACTGCACTCCAGCCTGGGTGACAGAGACTCTGTCTCAAAAAAAAAAAAAAAAAAAAAGAGTAAATGAGTAGCAAGGCCATTTGGCCACAGGTTAACTCACTTTCTTCAATGACTTTAACTTATAATTAAAGTGACATTCTGAGTTCCATATGCCTGACTCTTGTATCATCTATTAAATAGTTCCAAAGTTTGAAATAAAAGAAAAAAAAGAGAGAGAAATTCAACCTGAGGAAGCTGAAATGAAAGGAAAAAAAACGTTCAAAATTTGAGAGTGAAAAGAAAAGTATTATTTATTGGCTTCCTGAACCTCCTGACCCAAAAAAAATCCCACAAAAACTTGACTCTGTAATAAGATTAATTAAGCAGTTATACGAAGACTGAACAATGAATATAAAGTATTTAATAGCTGGGGCAGTGGACTTGTTGGCTCACACCTGAAATCACAGCACTTTGGGAGGTCAAGAGAGGAGGATCACTTGAGCCCAGGAACTAGAGACCAGTCTAGGCAACATGGTGAAACCCCATCTCTACAAAAAAAAATGCAGAAAATTATCCAAGAGTGGTGGCGTGCACCTGTCATCCCAGATACTTGGGAGGTTGAGGTGGGGAGGATGGGTTGAACCTGGGAGGCAGAAGTTGTAGTGAAACGAGACTGTGCCACTGCACTCTACCCTGGGCAACAGAGCAAGACCCTCTTTCAAAAAAGGAAAACAAAAACAAAACCCATGAAGTACTTGATATACAGTGAGCTCTTGCTATTGCTTAGCTGCTTTTTGTGACTGTGACTGCAACCAGAAACAAGAAAGTCAGGAAGACTAGGACAGCATGAACTGCAGGATGAACAAAATGGCTCCAGGCCTTTGTGAAGGGAGAACTGCTAGGTGGCAACTGGGAGTTTAAGAGACTCTGGTTTCCAGGCTGAAAAAGCCCTCCTTTATGGAAGCTGCCCTTAGAAGGCACAGAGATCTGCAATCTGAGGCAATGAGAAGGAAACATAGTAGTTATTAGCTCTTAGCCCACAACCACAGTGGGATGGAAAGAGGAACATTCACAAGGTAAAAAGGAAGTCTACAGAAACTGTACCCTGAGATTCAGAGAAGGCACTGAGAAAAGTTATATGAGTATTAATAACAAGGAGACAAACCTACCATTAAAACAGACTATTGGCAACACTAGGGAAACGTGAATATGACTGTCAGTACTGCAGCCAAAAAAACAGAAAGCGAATGTGCCAAATGTTAATCATACATATGATGAGTACACATGGGGCTCCGTGGTGGTATTCTGTAAGTACTTTAAAATTTTTCCAAAGATTTTTAAGAGATAAATGTTTAAAAACTAAAGGTAAGGGAATAGGGAATAAAGAGGACCTTCTGCACTGACTTCTTCTATCTGCCACCCCTCACCAAAGGCTGCAACTTGACCCATGTAAGCGTTAAGTCTGGGGAGTCAGGGAAGGTCACTTGGGTAGTGTGGCTGCGTCTGACATGACTCTGATCACCCAGAGTGGCAGACCCACCAAGAGTCATTCTGCACAAAAGCAGGAATCAGCTTTTGGTGACAACATGTATTTAAGGAGGAAGCCTGAACACACATGTTATAGCTTTCGGAATGCACCTTGAATCAGCTTTTGGTGACAACATGTATTTAAGGAGGAAGCCTGAACACACATGTTATAGCTTTCGGAATGCACCTTGGTCTCCAAAAGGATGCTCTATCAATGTCATACTGGGAGTCTACAGGGCAGTCAAGGCTTGTAAGAAAAGAACCCTTGAATTTTAAGGTAAGAAAGGTCATCTCGGCTGGGTGCAATGGCTCACACCTGTAATCTCAGCACTTTGGGAGGCTGAGGCAGGAGGATCACTTGAGGTCAGGAGTTCAAGACCAGCCTGACCAACATGGAGAAACCCCATCTGTACTAAAAATACAAAATTAGCTGCGTGTGGTGGCGCATGCCTGTAATCCCAGCTACTTGGGAGGCTGAGGCAGGAGAATCACTTGAACCTGGGAGGCGGAGGTTGCAGTGAGCCAAGATTGTGCCACTGCACTCCAGCCTGGGCAACAAGAGCCGAAAAAGAAAGGCCAACTGATCTCAGACCTCCAAACATGTGGGCTCCAACTGCGGCCATTCTAACCTTTGTACCACTAAGGCAATGAGGGTCAGAGGAAGAGTTCCTGCCCATCCCAATTAAAAAGGCTGGGTACAGTGGCTTAGGCTTGTAATCCCAGCACTTTGGGAGGCTGAGGCAGGTGGATCACTTGAGGTCAGGAGTTCGAGACCAGCCTGGAGTTTCATCAGTCAACATGGTGAAACCCAGTCTCTACTAAAAATACAAAAATTAGCTGGGTGCGGTGGCATACACCTGTAATACCAGTTACTTGGGAGGTGGAGGCAGCAGAATTGCTTGAACTTGGAAGGCAGAGATCGTGGTAAGCCAACATCACGCCACTGCACTCCATCCTGGATGACAGAGCAAGACCGTCTCAAAAAAAAAAAACAGGGGGCATTGTTTTCCAAGTGGGCTGAGGTGGATCTCCTGCTGTGACTGAGGCTGCGCTGATGCAATTCTTGGAATGAGTAGCCACAGAGAGTAAGAGAAAAGCAACTCCCAGCAAAGAAACTAGGAAAGTGAATGCCACACAGGCTTTTGTTTGACACAACCACTGCAGGCTAAAGGCACTGACTGAGCATCTCTCCTGCCCTCCTGGACAACTGCAGCATCTCCACCGCACAGATCCACCTCCCCCAGAGGGTGTCTTCCAGGACAGCTCCCCACCCCACACCACTGCCTGGAGCCCATACCTCTGCCAGCTCCCTCTCACTGATACTTCTAGCGGCGCTTCCTTTCTTCCTCGTGCATGGCTCTCCCACAGTGACTCTGCCATCCCCTTTGGCGTAACTGTGCACAGTGAGAATTCCTGTTTGCCCTTGGACTCGGCAGGAGAGAGGCTCACTAGTTTCTGAATCAGAAGAGACAGAATCCTGTGAAGAGCTGGAGCCCAGGCTACAAGACAATTTCTCTTTGGAACCTGAGAAGACAAGGCGTCCCCCTACAGACGAAGGATTCACAGAAAGATCCAAGGCAGCTGCTTCTTGTTCTTCCTCTTCATCCTCCTCTTCTAGTTTGACATTTTTGAGTTCTTCAAATTTTACTTCAGTGGAGTCAGAATAATCTGAAACACACATACACATCAGACAGAGCCAAGTTCCTCCTGCACACATGAACCCGATGAAAGGCAGAGTGGCAAAGCACAAGAAACATGGGCTGGGAGTGGGACCTAGCTTCCAATCCTAGCTCTGTCACTGGTGGGGCACTGTGAGCCAGGACTATCTGCTCAGCCTCCTGGCTCTAGCTTCTTCCTCTATAATGGGAAGATGCTACTATGTATCTACAGGGCTAGTAAATAGGACTCCCAAGCACCTGGCACTCAGCAGACACTCAGTAAAGGGGAGCTGCCATTTTCTCCAGTCTCCAGCAGGAAATGCAAGCCTGAGCTCAGCAGAGAAGCTGGCTACCTACCCCATGCTAGAAAGTCTGAAGATCTTGAAAAGTATTAAGAGGGTGGATGTTAAATGTTCTCACTGCAAGAATGATAACTATGTGAAGTAATGCGTATTTTAATCAGCTAGATTTAACCATTCCACAACATATATATACTACACAAATCATGTTGGGCCAGGAGCAGTGGTTCACAACTGTAATCCCAGCACTTTGGGAGGCCAAGATGGAAGGATTGCTAGAGCCCAGGAGTTGAGACCAGCCTGGGCAACAAAGTGAGACCCTGTCGCTATAAAATTTAAAAATTAGCCAGGCATGGTGGCATATGCCTATAGTCCCAGCTACTTGAGAGGCTGAGGCAAGAGGATTGCTTGAGCCCAGAAGGTTGGGGCTGCAGTGAGCTGTGTTCACATCACTGTGATCCAGCCTGGGCAACAGAGCAAGACTCTGTTTCAAAAACAAAAAAATTATGTTGTACATGACAAGTATGCACAATTTTATCTGGCAGTATAAATAAATTAATTTGAGCGGAAAAAAGTAAAGAAAATCTGCTGAAGAGAAGCCTGCGCAGCCCAGGGTCTCAGTCCAAAGTGCTACCTGACTGTCAGCAGACCACATATTTGGGTCATACCTGACCCAAGACAGATACAAGCCTTTCTCTAATCTAGTCTCAGTGACTGCTGAACAACACTGATCACACCACTACCACTCCCTCTCTTAAAATATAAATGGCTTTCTAGCCGGGCGCGGTGGCTCACACCTATAATCCCAAGCCCTTTGGGAGGCTGAGGCGGGTGGATCACCTGAGGTCAGGAGTTCAAGACCAGCCTGACCAATATGGTAAAACCCCGTCTTTAAAAAAAAAAAAAGAAAAAGAAAAAGAAAAAAAAAAAAAAAAAAAAAAAAATATATATATATATATATATATATATATATAAATGGCTTTCTAAGCTTCCACGTGAGCAAATGAAAATGGCAAGGAGCCCTACAGCATCTCCTATTTCTCCAGCATCACCTCCTGGTCACACAACTGCCTTCTACCCTAATATTCAATTGAGGGAAATGCCCCACCAGTTCCCTATGTGGACCATGCAATTAATATTTCCCATCTCTGCTGGGAGCAGTGGCTCATGCCTGTAATCCCAGCACTTTGGGAGACCGAGATAGGCAGATCACGTGAGGTCAGCAGTTCAAGATCAGCCTGGCCAACATGGTGAAAGCCTAACTCTACTAAAAATACAAAAAAAAAAAAATTAGCCGGGCATAGTAGCAGGCCCCTGTAGTCCTAGCTACTTGGGAGGCTAAGGCAGGAGAATCACTTGAACCCGGAAGGCGGAGGTTGCAGTAAGCTGAGATTGCACCACTGCACTCCAACCTGCGTGACAGAGCAAGACTCCGTTTCAAAAAAAAAAAAATTTTCCCATCTCCAAGCCTGTGCCCTGTTCCTCCCCTCTGGGATGCCCTTTCTATATCCCTCCTCTCTCTCTGTCCACTGGGGAAGGTCCTACTTACCTTTTAAGAGTCACCTTCACCAAAACCTCCAGTGTTTCCCTGACCCCTGACCAGGCAGAGGGAGGAGCTTTTCCCTACATGCCCGGTCCACCCTGAACATCCCTACCCAAAGCACTTCTCACACTCCAAGTAGGCTACCTGCTCATAGACCTGTCACTCTCCTTTTATTTCTGACCCTGCACTCAATATGGCATCTAACATGGGACACGTGCGGAGTTAGGGTTGTGGAAAATACACCATAGTCAACTAACCTGGGAAGGCAAGACCATCCTCAACTTGACGCACAGAGCTATGGGTGGGCCTCACGGGGGCGAGGGCAGCCGGGCACTCCGTCATCTCATAGTGCTCAGAACTCAGCTCCTCCTTGGGGAAGAGCTCACTCTGACTCACCTCCTGTGGTATTTCAAGACAAACTCGGTGCCTCTTTGTCCCTATTCGGTGCTTGGCCAGGCTGCAACAGAGACGGTAAATCTTTTAAGAGCTCACATATACATCCATTTACTCAAACACATTCACACGCATCCACACACAAGCCGAAGTGAATGGCCAGAGCCTGTCAGGCCTGGCTCAAAACTCAGGGACACCTCTTACTTGTGTGACTTGAAACAAAGGACTTCACCTCTCTGAGCTTGTTCCACCACCTGGAAAATTCAGCTATCACCACCCACCTCAGATTTGTTGTGAGGATTAAGACATGGTATGCAGAGTAGCTGGCAAAGTGCCTGGCATATGGTAGGTACAAAGGAACAGTCCCTCCTTTCTTTCCCACATGGCCCAGGATAAATTCTCCTCAGAGCACAGATCCCCTGGCTCAGCCACCATTGGCACTGCAGGCTTAAATCACGACATCACCAATGCCCTTGAGTCTCATCCACACTACACTTCTTTTTAAAAGACCCTATCATATGATGAGAAAACATGACTTATCCGGCTCACAGGGAGCCCAACCTTCGTACATACATGCCCTTGGCCCTCATAGAAATGACCCCTTGCTCCAGCAGACTACATGCCCACTATGGGTGTCTCATTCAGAAAGTACCTGAATGCTGTGGCTCTCCAGTTTCTGTAGCCTTGACCAACAACACCCCACTTAGCTGAAGCACAAACAGCCTCTTAGAAACAGTCTCTCTGCAGGTTATGGGACCTACCCAGACATCCCTCCCTCACACAGCCAGGACCAAAGGGCTGCTGGGTTACCTTGTCTTCAAGTCTCCTTCCTCTCCATCCTCTACCCCTTCCATGTCCTCCTCTGGGCATTCCTCCTCGTTGCCAGCCCTTGGAGGCAATTCACTCTCCTTAAGAAACTCAGCTGCTTCTGGCGTAGGCAGAGTATGGTCAATAACTGTGTTGTCCTTCCCAGCTTTCCAAAGTTTGTACCTTTCCGGCTGAAACTTCCTTACAAACACATCCATGGAGATCTTCACCATGTCCTTTCTACAGGAGCACTGTCATCAGGAACCAGAAGAGCACCAGATAAGCATGCTTTACTGTTTCCATCTCACCCTCACATCCTAGCTCCTCCCTCTAAATAAAAACAAGTGCAAGATGGTTTATAACCACATTGTTTTGGTTCACAGGCTGAAGGTGTATTATTCCTTACAGGACCTTCAAACATGAAGGGAAGCAGGAAAAAAAAGGGCAGAGAATACATGGTACTGGGGCAAATATACCTGGGCACTAACTTGGGGTCACAGAGGGTGGTTAGGCTCTGCACTTAGGCCCACAGGACGGTAAACAGCCACCTGCCCTTGTTCCCTGTCCAAGCCAGGAACATATCAACAAGTCTACTACTACCAGTCAAAGGCTCAGCCCTGCTGCTTCCCTAGAGTAAAGGAAACCCCTAAGAATTTCAACAGAGAGATCTCAGAGTGGCTAAGGCAAGAATATTAACATGTGTGGATGTGGTTTTAGTACCAAATAGACTTAAGCATAGAACCTCATTTTATACTTCCCAAATCTGAACACATTTTTAAAAATTCCTTATGAACACACAATGTTAACACTTTGACATATTGCTAGCCCCTCTGTTTCTGAATTTCAGCAGCTTCAAGAAATATTCTAATCACCAGCCACTGTATCTAACCAGAATTTGCTCATTTTTGCCATGGTGTTATAGAAAGAAATCAAGCAGACTTACCAGCACAGCTTGCTTGCCATACTCAATCCACCGACGGGTAGCAAAATTGGTAGACTCCGCACAGTTAAAGCCGTGGTTGAAGCCGGCATGGTAACCATAAGGGAAAGTGATCATAAACTCTCCGGCCTCTTGAGTCACCTGAACAAGAGCAGACTTGAAGCAGCTGCTTCAAATGGCAGAAGTCCACAGAACTGGAATTCTGAGCTCCACCACAACTTAGCTGAGCAACAAAGGGTAAGTCATAAAATCCCTGGGGTCTTGCTGTCTTCTATGAAATGCAAAGCCTAGACCTAGCAGATGACAAGACTGTAATTAACCATTCCTCCAAATGAACTTTGTTCAAAGGGATCTGACTGTCCTCTGGCACCAGGAAGGTACAGTGCCCCACCTTTATTGCCCTTAGAGCGAAGTGTTGCGACATAGTTTGATTAAGTTTTGGCCCTGTCCTGGTATGATGATGAACTAGAATAAAACTCTGTAAAACAAAGACCAGAAAGAGTAGTGTCTGTAAGCCTAAGAACTTCTGCAGGTAACATCAGCTCACCTTGTCAAAGGGAATTCCATATTTCTTCAGCATTAACGGGGAAATCAGGGTCATCTTGTGGCGAAGAAATGCCTCACAGCTTTGAGCACTTCCAGGGAAAAACCCTATTTAATTGAAAGGATATGGGTTAACACACTGCTCCACACTAGCTCTGCAATCCTGGAGTCACTTCACACCTGTGCTTCTCATCTGAATAATAAACAGGATGAATCACCAATGGGACCTCCAGGGATCGTTATAGCTCCGCATTGTAGAATTCTAAGATTCTACAATGAGCCTCTGGGCTGACTCCCATGGAGGCATTACATGGGTAATGAAATCCTGTTTGGGAAACCAAGGTCACCCAAGCTGCCTCTGTTCTTATGGAGCTTTGAAACTATTTAGGACCTTTTCTCCAGTCACTTGTACCCTTGTTCTTTCTTCAGTAATGCAGCTATAGTATTATCTACCCAGGCTTTCCTGAAATATGTTCTCTAGATGTACAAATCTATCTAAGTCCACTTAAAAGAAACAAAAAATTCAACTTTTTCTTTAACATTTGGGTCTTTAGTGGAAACACCAGTCATACTGAGTCTGGTTCATTATCCCTGGTCAAAGCAGCACCCCTGCTCAGTAAAACTGAGGCACAGACGATCAAAGAAGGAATGACCAAGTCGCTGCACAGGAAAAAGGAAGAAAAATGCCTTGTCACTGCCCTCTTAAGGTACCCAATGTGACTCACCCCCGCTGCAGGCCTGTGATAGATAGGACCTGCAAGAACCTGACCGTGGGGAACACACATTTTGGTTTAGAGCAAGGAGTACAGCTCGTAGGAGAGTCCGACCCAGCAAACAGGGGAGACACAATACCTTTGGCGAGGCGTTCCAACCGCTTTCCATGCTCAGGTGGAACAGAGTACCTGCAATCACATGAGAGCATCAGGGCTGGGCAGAGAACAGGTACAGAGGCTAAGGGGCTTGTTCCCACTCTCAAAACACCTTGAAATAGCAGATTTTTAAAAAATTTCCCAAGCACTAGAAAGGAATCTGAAAAGATGAAATATTAGACTGTTTGGGCACAGGAGTTGAGAGCCCATAAAGAAGGTAAGTGAATTTATTTCTTTTATATTCATTCATTTAATAAGATGTTTATCAAGTATGCACCCTGAGCCTGGATTTATGGTCTACAATATTATTCTCCTTTATAATGTGGTTCATATAATTACATTTTTTTAGAAAAAAGAAAAAAAAAAGGATGTCATTACATAACCTCAATGTTTAAAAATGCTCAGTATTTTTTAAATGCTTGAAGGCCTAACTGGGAGCCGGCTAGAGGAGGAATGGAAAACAAGGTGAAAGATGGATCAGACACCTATGAGACATAGTCCCGTACCTGCTGATGAGCCCATTTTCCCTTCATCTCCCAACAGCTACATATACTGATTATGCAATCATCAATTACTTCTCTACCCAGTAGGGTGTCTAAACACCATAGAAACTGCTTTCTAAAAAACGAAAAGAAAAAAAGAACACCTAGGACTATTTAAAACTTTTAGAAAATTGTTAGACTTTATATTCTGAAACTCACAGTAACTCCATTTTAATCTCTTCTAAAGATTATTCCAGACCAGGCGCGGTGGCTCACATCTATAATCCCAGCACTTTGGGAGGCTAAGGTGGACAGATCACGAGGTCAGGAGTTCAAGACCATCCTGGCCAACATAGGTAAACCCTGTCTGTACTAAAAATACAAAAATTAGCCAGGTGTGGTGGCATGTGCCTGTAGCCCCTGCTACTTGGGAGGCTGGGGCAGGAGAATCGCTTGAACCTGTGGGGTGAAGGTTGCAATGAGCTGAGACCACACCATTGCACTCCAGCCTGGATAACAGAGTAAGACTCCATCTCACACAAAAAATAAAATATTCCACAGTAACAATAAATCCTCCCATTCCAAACAGCTTCATTATAAAACAAAACAGAGAAGAGTTGAGAAAAATGTCACCTAAAGGACACTGGGATCCATCAGGCAACCCTGCACAGAAGGCTCTGGAGGTCCCACTTCAGAGGACCTAAGAATGAATATGATAACTGGAAAACCTTATTTTATAAGAGAATTCAAAAGTCCAGGATCAGGGAAATTTGGAGTAAACAATGGTGAAGACACAAAAGCTACATTTACACATCCTACAAAGTCTAGCATTCTGATGAACCAAACAGGACAGTGGTTAGGAGATAATCATAGGCTCAAAAGGTTCTTTCCCCCAAGATTAGAAACTGGAAAGCACTTGAAAGAAGAAAGGAAAACCCCTGAAAAAAAACATGGCTGAGGATGCTGAAAAAAGAAATGAAGGTAGATATGGTTTTCATGACTCCCCATAATGTGCCCCCATGGTGTCCCCTCCAGCCTCATCACTCACTTCTTATCATTGTACACAGCACCCCAACTACAGTAGACTTCTCCTAGCTCCCTAAACATACCATGCTTTTTTTTTCTTGTCGGGGGACAGTCTCACTCTGCCACCCAGGCTAGAGTGCAATGGTGTGATCTCAGCTCACAAGAACCTCCACCTCCCGGGTTCAAGCGATTCTCCTGCCTCAGCCTCCCAAATAGCAGGGATTACAGGCATGGGCCACCACGCCTGGCCCTCATGTGCTCTCTTAAACCAGGAGCTCTGCACATGGGGTTCCAACTGCCTGAATACACTTCCCTCAATCTCCCTGCTGCTAAGCCCACCACCATTCCACCCAGTTACGTCCTTCTCATTTTTTGGGTCTCAGTTGTCACCTCTCCCAAAGAAGCCTTCTTTAATCCCACCCTTCTGTCTTTCCTATGTGGACCTTAGCACCCACTACTTCCCCTTCAGAGCTGTCCCCATGCCATATGATCATCCTCTCACAATTTCTACCTCCTGACCAGTCTCCTATCTGTGTGAGGGTAGTTATATTCACTGCTGTTAATCTGCAGCACTTTCACCAAAACACTGAGACAGGGGCTGCGTATAGTGGTTCATGCCTGTAATCATACCATGTTGGAAGGCCGAAATGGGAGGACTACTTGAGCCCAGGAGTTTGAGACCAGCCTAGGCAACATGGTGAGACCCCAATTTCTATCCCCAAAAAAAGAAAAAAATCAGCTCTGTATAGTGGTACACATTTATAATCCCAGCTACTTGGGAGGCTGAACTGGAAGGATCACTTGAGCCCAGGAGGTCAAGGCTGCAGTGAGCCATAATGGTGCCACTGTAATCCAGCTTGGGTGACAGAGATTCTGTCTCAAAATAGAAAAAAAAAAATGCTGTGACTCAAAGATGGGTCAATGCAGACAGAGGAGAGAGAACCAATGTTTGTCTCAGCAACAAGAATAACACCCTGGAGAGCAAGAAGCATGCTGAATAGCCTCACATCCCCTTGTGTGTTAAGCACACACTGCCTCTCCCCAAGAATTATTTTTTCCATGAGGAAAAGAAAGCAAAGCTTTCTATCATCTGAGGGAGTGACTCTAGTCTTGGAAATCTGCTGCTAAGAAATGCCTCAGGTCTGTTCAGAAAAAAAATTAGAAAGCAATGGGATAGAGCCCCCAATGTCTTTGGGTAACTCTGCCAGCACCCTACTCTCTAAAGCCTCCCTACTGGCCAAAAACAAAGTGGTCTGAGCACCAGAGCTCCCACAGCATCTTAGCACTTGAAAGTGTGTTTAAGGCCGGGCATGGTGGCTCATGCCTATAATCCCAGCACTTTGGGAGGCTGAGGCGGGTGGATCACGAGGTCAAGAGATCGAGACCATCCTGGCCAACATGGTGAAACCCCGTCTCTACTAAAAATACAAAAAAAAAAAAAAATTAGCTGGGCATGGTGGTGCACGCCTGTAATCCCAGCTACTCAGGAGGCTGAGACAAGAGAACTGCTTGAACCCAGGAGGCAGAGGTTGCGGTGAGCCAAGATCACACCATTGCACTCCAGGCTGGGTAACAAGAGCGAAACTCCTCAAAAAAAAAAAAAAAAAAAAGCAGCAAGTCTGAGAAGGCTGTTTAAAAAAAAGAAAAAAAAAAAAATAGAAAAAGAGAAAAAAAAAGAAAGTATGTTTAAAACATGAAATCCCACCCAGGCCTGAACCAGGGTCTGCACTTTAACCCAACGCTGAGGTGTCTCCCCGCACACTGATCGTGAGTCTGTGCTCTAGTATAGACGCCCAGTGCCGACTGCAGGCGGACTTTACCAGGACTTTGGTTCTCCAAAGTGCAGGTAGTTGATGCTGTAGAGGTCCATGTCTTCAGTGTGCCAAGCAAAGGATGTCTTCCACATGCCAAAGTACAGGTATGGGGTGTTTACACCCTCAATGGTGATCCCACTCTCCTTTTCTACCAAGTCCAGGATTGTTCTCAGCCGGCCAATATTCCACTCATCAATGTGCTACAAAGGCAATGACAGTCCAGGGCAAGTTACATTTGAATATAAACCGACCACAGTATTCCTCATTCACTTTCACAGCTACCACTGGAACTGACACCATTTGCCTTCAAAGTGTAAATACCACTTTGTGAATGATACTAGTGTAGGAAAGATGAATAAAGAGATGAAGTCACCTGTTTTAAACCCCAAGAAGAAGAGTTGGAACTGATGCTAAAGAAATTGAGGTCAAAATAGAAAAAAGAAAAATCTACAACCACACACAAAAAAACTGCAAAACATGGAAACTAACTATGACAGTGGGCCAGGCACAGTGGCTCACCCCTGTAATCTCAACACTCGGGAGGCCATGGCAGGATTGCTTGAGCCCAAGAGTTCAAGACCATCCTTGGCAACAAGGCAAGACCCACTGTCTACAAAAAATTACAAATTAAAAAAACTAGTCAGGTGAGGTGGCATATGCCTGCAGTCTCAGCTATTTGGGAGGCTGAGGTGGAAGGATCCCTTGAGCCCAGGGGTTTGGGGTTACGGTAATCTATGATCATATCATAGATTACTGTATGGTGACTGGGTGAGATTCTGTCTCAAAACAAAAAAACTATGGCAATCTTGTGGCTTCTTTAGCCCTGATTTCCACCAGGCAGTGTCTTCATAAAAAATAGGCAATATCCTTTTCCTGAGTGTAACGGCCAGCTGGGAGCCCTCCTCCCATAACTAGACCGTGGATTATTATTATGCCTGACTTTTGTACCTCCCCATCCCAGATCCTTACAGCGTCTTCCTGTCATTCTCCCTACAAGCTTTACTTCCCCATACCCCCCAAAAAACTGTTATCAACAAAACTGGAATTCATTTTTTTAACCCTTCCAATTGATAAAAACATCAAAATTCAGCTGGGTGCACTGGCTCACATCTGTAATCCCAGCGCTTTGGGAGGCCGAAGCATGTGGATTACCTGAGGTCAGGAGTTCGAGACCAGTCTGACCAACATGGTGAAACCCGTCTCAAAAAAAAACAAAAAATAAAAACCATTAAAATTAATATGAAAACAAGGAGTGATAATCCCTGAAACGCCCTGCTGTTTTTCAGTCATCTGAAGACAGTTCCAAATATTCTCCCCTTCTACCATATTTAAGGCAGCACTATGTCCCAAGCAATGAAAGTGGGTAAAATCCTTTTTGCTACACAATCTTGTTTGAGGGTTCTGAAAAATCTAAATGTATTTCTCTTCTTAAATATATACCCCTTTCATTAGATTAGTCAGTCATCTTTTTTCTGCAGAAACCACACTGCCTCATTTCATTATCCGAGAGTCAACCCACCCTTTCAAGAACTCATCAGCTACCACCCACTGACTATGCTAACGACCCTTGAAAAGAACACCACATCATCAAATTCACATGGAAAGCAGGAGAAATAAAATTCAGTCACATGCAAAAGTACCCACAATTAGGCCAGCATAGCAACATCAGCTGGGGGTAGATCATCTGTTCATCCACCCATTCACCAAACTGCTTTTAGGTGCCTAGCACGTGCTGGGCTGAAAAAAAGGTATTACAAAATTACAAAACGCTGCAGAGGGTTTCCAGTGAGTCTCACCTTTTCATAGAGGGTACCGTTCACATCTGCACCATAGATTGGAGGATTGAATGTAAGATTTTTCCAGTATTTCCGCTCGAGCTCTTCAAACTCACTATATCGTGGGGTACAGTACCTTTTGAAAGTAAGAAGCATGTAAACCACTTACAGGAGATATTAGGCATTATGAACAAGAAAAGACATACTCCCCTATTCTACTGACAGCAAGAATTTCAAATGAACAAGGCATAATCTTGGCCTTCAAGGCTGTACTATGTAGTCACTCCCTCGATGTTCCTTCCATGAGCACTGGGCCTGAGGAAGGTAATGTACACACAGATGTAAACCCAAAAAAACAAGCACAACATTCTCAACTCTCTGAAGAGACTCTACTTAAACTATATCTTGCTAGATTCAGGTGGCCACACAGGGAGAAAATGGGCTTATCAACCAAGACCCAAGGTCCCTATGTATCCAGACAACCAAAACCCACCAGCATGTGAAGAGCTGAGACTTTCCAACAGCATTCACCTCCCTGAACCAGCCAAAAGGAAGCTGCTCCAAGAGGGCTCATTTTTAAGTGCCCCCTGCTATATTCCCAGTGCCCTAAGCAATGGCTGACACTAAAATATCAAATATTTTAGTAAAAACATAAAATAGCTCTAAAAATACCAAAATAGATTTTTGCACATCAAATATTCCAATTAGGAAAATCTATACACACATATATACATATTTATATCTGCCTATCTCCATATAAAGTCATACAAATATCTGTACTTTCACTGGGCGTGGTGACTCACACCTGGAATCCCAGCATTTTGGGAGGCCTGGGGAGGGCGGATCACCTGAGGTTAGGAATTTAAGACTAACCTGGCCAACATAGTGAAAGCTGGTCTCTACTAAAAATACAAAAATTAGCCAGGCATGGTGGCACACGCCTGTAATTCCAACTACTTGGGGCAGGGGTTGAGGCAGCAGAATTACTTAAACCCAGGAGGAGGAGGCTATAGTGAGCTGAGATTGCACCACTGCACTCCAGCCTGGGCCACAGACTAAAACTCTGTCTCAAAAAAAATAAATAAATCTATACCTTAAAAAAACAGGATCCTCACTCTGCTGCCCAGACTGGAGTGCAGTGGTGTGATCATACCTTAGTGTAGCCTCGAACTCCTGGGCTCAAGCAACCCTCCTGCCCCAGCCTCTGGAGTAGCCAGGACTGCAATTGTGCACCACCACATCCAGCTAATGTTCTTATTTATTGTAGAGATGAAGTCCTGCAATGTTGCCCAGGTTAGACTCAAACTCCTGGCCTCAAGTTATCCTCCAACCATGGCCTCCCGAAACGATGGGATTATAGGAGTGAGCCAATGTATCCAGCCTAAAAATATCTATACTCATTAGCTTAATCATCATATACTAAAAATTTACTCAAAAAGAAAACCAAAAAAAGTTTTAAGTTCAAACCAGCCAAGTGCACTGGCTCATGCCTGTAATCCCAGCAGTTTGGGAGGCTAAGGCAGAAGGATCACTTGAGCCCAAGAGTTTGAGAATAGCAATATGGCAAATTCCTGTTTCTACTAAAATTTTAAAAATCAGCAGGGCTGGCTGGGTGTGGTGGCTCACGCTTGTAATCCAGCACTTTGGGAGGCCGAGGCAGGTGGATCACAAGGTCAAGAGATCAAGACGATCCTGGTCAACATGGTGAAACCCCATCTCTACTCAAAATACAAAAAATTAGCTGGGCATGCCTGTAATTCCAGCTACTCAGGAGGCTGAGGCAGGAGAACTGCCTGAACCCAGGAGGCGGAGGTTGCGGTGAGCCAACTGCACTCCAGCCTGGGTAACAAAAGCGAAACTATGTCTCAAAAAAGGAAAAAAAAAAAAGAGAAGAAAAGAAACTCCATCTCTACTAAAAATACAAAAATTAGCTGCGCATGGTGACTCATGCCTGTAATTCCAGCTACTCGGGAAGGCAGAGGTTGCAGTGAACTGATATCACGCCATTGCAGTCCAGCCTGGGCAACAAGAGTGAAACTCTATCTCAAAAAAAAAAAAAAAAATTAGCAGGGCATGGTGGCACACCCTTACAGTCTCAACTATTGGGGGTGGGAGAGAGTAGGAAGGCTGAGATGGGAGGATCTCTTGAGCCTGGGAGGTGAAGGCTGCAGCAAACCGTGACAAGCCACTCACTCCCAACCAGGGAAACAGAGCAAGACTGTCTTAAAAAAAAAAAAAAATTCAATTTAAAAAATCATTATGCAGTGGCCTGGCATAGTGGCTCACACCTGTAATCCCTGCACTCTGGGAGATTGAGGCAGGCAGATCACTTGAGGTCAGGAGTTTGAGATTAGCCTGGACAACATAGTAAAATGCTGTCTCTATACTAAAAACACAAAAATTAGCTGGGTGTGGTGGTGCGCACAGGTAGTCCCAGCTACTCGAGAGGCTGAGGCAGGAGAATCTCTTGAACCTGGGGGTAGGTGGCAGTTGCCGTGAGCCAAGACTGCGCCACTGCACTCCAGCCTGGGTGACAGAGCAAAACACTTTAAACAAAAAAAAAAAAAAAAAAAAAAAAAAAATGCAACAATTTAAGAAGAGTAGGCCAGGCACAGTGGCTCATGCCTATACTCCCAGCACTTTGGGTGGATCACAAGGTCAAGAGATCGAGACCATCCTGGTCAACATGGTGAAACCCCATCTCTACTAAAAATACAAAAATTAGCTGGGCATGGTGGCTCGTGCCTGTAATCCCAGCTACTCAGGAGGCTGAGGCAGGAGAATTGCTTGAACCCAGAAGGCAGAGGTTGCGGTGAGCCAAGATCACGCCATTGCACTCCAGCCTGGGTAACAAGAGCGAAACTCTGTCTCAAAAAAAAAAATATTTGGCCGGGCGCAGTGGCTCACACCTATAATTCCAGCACTTTGGGAGGTTGAGGCGGGTGGATCACAAGGTCAAGAGATCGAGACCAGCCTGGTCAACATGGTGAAACCCCGTACCTACTAAAAATACAAAAATTAGCTGGGCATGGTGGTGCGAGCCTGTAGACCCAGCTACTCCGGAGGCTGAGGCAAGAGAATTGCTTGAACCCAGAAGGCGGAGGTTGCAGTGAGCTAAGATTGTGCCATTGCACTCCAGTCTGGGTAACAACAGCGAGACTCTGTCTCAAAAAAAAAAAAAGAAGAGTAATACACAAGGCCGGGGACGGTGGCTCAGGCCTGTAATCCCAGCACTTTGGGAGGCCAAGGCGGGCGGATCACGAGGTCAAGAGATTGAGACCATCCTGGCCAACATGGTGAAACCCCATCTCTACTAAAAATACAAAAATTAGCTGGGCATGGTGGTGCATGCCTGTAGTCCCAGCTACTCGGGAGGCTGAGGCAGGAGAAATGCTTGAACGTGGGAGGCGGAGGCTGCAGTGAGCTGAGATTGTGCCACTGCACTCCAGCCTGGCACCTGGCGACAGAGTGAGACTCTGTCTCAAAAAAAAAAGAAGAAGAGTAATACACAAACCTTACAAGTATTTGAAAAGGTGGAAAACTAATGCACGCTCTAACCAAAATGGCAAAAAATATTACGAATGGATAAAGAATAGACGTAAGGACCAAAATGGACTCATGGAGATAATGCGAATGAATTTAAAATTAATTATCTAAAAACCTGACTAAATAAACCAGATTTTATTTGGCTATATTTATGCCTGTAATCCCAGTACTTAAGGAGGCTGAGGCTGTTGCATCACAAGGTCAGGAGATCAAGACCATCCTGGTTTAACACGATGAAACTCCATCTCTACCAAAAATACAAAAATTTAGCCAGGTGTGGTAGCACGTACCTGTAGTCCCAGCTACTCAGGAGGCTGAGGCAGAAAAATCACTTGAACCCAGGAGGAAAAGGTTATAGTGAGCAGAAACTGTGTCACTGCATTCCAGCCTGGACAACAGAGCAAGACTCTGTCTCAAAAAAAAAAAAAAAAAAAATTTGAAAGAAAATGAAAGAGGCCAGGCACGGAGGCTCATGCCTGTAACCCCAGCACTTTGGGAGGCCGAGATGGGGGGATCATGAGGTCAGGAGACCATCCTGGCCAACATAGTGAAACCCCATCTCCACCAAAAATACAAAAAAATGAGCCAGGTGTGGTGGCATGCACCTGTAGCCCCAGCCCAGGAGGTAGAGGCTGCAGTGAACCAAGATCGTGCCACTGCACACCAACCTGGAGACAGAGTGAGACTCCATTTAAAAACAAAAAAACAAAAAAACAACAAAAAAAAGAAAAAGCCTAGCATGTGTTAACAAAAAGGGAAGAAAGACTGAGGAGACTGAAGCCCCTACTGGAATTCCATGTGACAAATAGAAGGCAGGTGAGCTTGGTCCTCATGAGTAGCAAAAATCAGACAAAAAAAATGGCAGAAGGACGACACAGCCTATCATCTGAAGAGCAAGCCGCACTTCTTCAACATGCCTTTACATAAATTCTCTCATTGGCCAGCAGGTTGGCCAGCAAGGCAGATCTTTTTAGAGTTAAGGTGTCCGCCAGATGCAGTGGCTCAGCCTACAATGCCAGCACTTTGGGAGGCTGAGGCAGGAGTATCACTTGAGACCAGGAGTTCCAGACCAAACTGAGCAGCAAATAATAAAAAAATTAGTGGAGCCTAGTGGCACACGCCTATACCTTCAGTTACTTGGGAAGCTGAGCTAGAGGCCAGGCACAGAGGCTCATGCCTGTAATCCCAGTACTTTGGGAGGCCGAGGCAGGCGGATCACAACGTCAGGAGTTGCAGACCGGCCTGGCCAATATGGTGAAACTCTGTCTCTACTAAAAATACAAAAATTCATTGGGTGTGGTGACCGGTGCCTAGTCCCAGCTACTCGGGAGGCTGAGGCAGGAGAATCGCTTGAACACGAGGTGGATGCTACAGTGAGCCAAGACTGCGCCACTGTACTCCAGCCTGGGCAACAGAGCAAGACTGTGTCAAAAAAAAAAAAAAGAAAAGAAGGAGGGCAAAGAGCAGAGATAGAGTGAGACCTGATGAGACAGAGCAGATGAAGCACAGGAATGCCACCCCAGTAGGATGAAGATAGGCAGGCATAAGAGCTGGCTCTGGGCTATTCACAGTGAAGGCACAGTATGTATGACAGTTGAAATCAAGGCATGCACAGATCAAAAGGCTCAGGATAAGAAGCAAGGAAGAAAGAAAAAACTCCTTGTGGAATCTCAAAATTAAGGAGTCGGTAGGAAGTGAGAAGATCCAAGGAAGAGGACTAGAAGGAAAGGTCAGAGATGAACAAGGAAACACAAAATTTATTCTCTGTGAACCTCAGGAAAAATGAAAACTGAATAATGAAAACAGCAGAGAAGGGCTAGGTGAGGTGGTTCATGCCTGTAATCCCAGCACTTTGGGAGGCAAAGAGAGGCGAATCACTTGAGGTCAGGAGTTCAAGACAAGCCTGGCCAACATGGCGAAACCTTGTCTACTAAAAATATAAAAATTAGCCAAGCATGGTGGTACATGCCTGTAGTCCCAGCTACTCGGGAGGCTGAGGCAGGAGAATCACTTGAACCTGGGAGACAAAGGTTGCAGGGAGCCAAGATCACTCCACTGCACTCCAGCCTAGGCGATAGAGACTCCTTCTTAAAAAAAAAACCCACAGCAGAGAAGAACTGAAAACAGGCCTACACGAAGAAAGATATCTCTAAAAGAGACAAGAATGTACAGAGGAAGAAGAATGGAGTGACAGAAAATAGCAACCAGCTTGGTGTTTTACTCACACTTTGTTAATGTCAAAACAGAAATGAGCGAGCAGGCTGGATGGGCAGTGAGAAATCCCAGCACAATTAAACACAGAGCATCCCAAGAGAGAGGAACTGGAACTAAAGCACTTTTGATGAGCAGGTGGTTATCAGTACCCAACAAAAGCTCCTTCTGCACCACCTCCAACTTTCTCCTTTGCAACTTTAGAGTCAGAAAATGATTCTACTTCTGATGGAAAAACAATGGGATTTGTTGATATAAGAACAGGAACAGGTTTAGACTGGGACACAGCCCTGAGAAGAGGAAATGCTTCCATAAAAAGAGCAAAAAGGGAGACAGCTAGAACAGAGCTGACCTGCTGAAGACCCTATTCATCAGGACAGCAGTGGTCCTGGAGATGCTAGGAAGATGAGACACCAGGGTGCTACGTGCTATGTCAAGAAAGAAAGGGTTTCCACTCACTTATCACTGTTGGCTATCTTGCGGAACTCCCGAACAGTCATGGCTTTCTTCTGTATGTTGTACTGAGTAAAGAGGCCAGACTGCCCCGTCACCAGCTGTTGGATGGGGGCAGGAATGACCAAATCATCAATGTCATCATAGGATGCTCGTGGCTTCCACTCTTTTGGAGGAACCACCTGAAGGGAACACAAGAAAGAAAAAGACAGATGAGATACCTGGCAAGCCCGCCAGAGTTCAGGAAGCATGTAGGTTGCCATCCAACCTAACAGTCAATTTTACTACACAGTTACTTTGATTTACCCACATTCACCCAAACATAGTAAGTCACAGGCATGCTAACCCTGATCCACTTTTGCCACCAACCAGCTGCCTAATTGCAATGACCTAAAGTAATACTTGTTCCCAGCTTCAGTATCCTATTTGGACACCAAGAAAGGAGACTGAAGAGTTGATTGTCTCTCAATCTCATGCCCAGTGCTCTCTTAAAAAAAAAAAAAAAAAATCACAGGCCGGGCACAGTGGCTCAAGGCTATAATCCCAGCACTTCGGGAGGCCGAGGTGGGTGGATCACGAGGTTGAGAGTTTGAGACCATCCTCGTCAACATGGTGAAACCCCATCTCTACTAAAAATACAAAAAAAAATTAGCTGGGCATGGTGGCACGTGCCTGTAATCCCAGCTACTCAGGAGGCTGAGGCAGGAGAATTGCCTGATCCCAGCAGGTGGAGGTTGTGGTGAGCCAAGATTGCGCCATTGCACTCCAGCCTGGGTAACAAGAGCAAAACTCCGTCTCAAAAAAAAAAAAAAAAAAAATCACAAACATGACCAGGCGCGGTGGCTCATGCCTGTAATCCCAGCACTTTGGGAGGCCGAGGCAGGCAAACCAATGTCAGAAGTTCGAGACCAACCTGACCAACATGGTGAAACCACGTCTCTATTAAAAAATAAAAATAAAAATCACAAACACAATTTTACCTGATTTGGTCAACTCTATACTTGTATAGAATTTTCTTCTTTCATATGCTAGATTACAATCTACTCACAAAGAAGCATAACATTCTTAAAAATCTAATCTTGAGGCCAGACACAGTGGCTCATGCCTATAATCACAGCACTTTGGGAGGCTGAGCAGGTGGATCACCTGAGGTCAGAAGTTCAAGACTAGCTTGACCAACATGGTGAAACCCCATCTCCATGAAAAATACAAAAATTACCCTGCCGTGGTGGCACTCAACAATAATCCCAGCTACTTGGGAGGCTAAGACAGAAGAATTGCTTGGACTTGGGAGGCAGAGGTTGCAGTGAGCTGAGATCACGCCATTGCACTCCAGCCTAGGCAACAAGAGTGAAACTCTGTCTTGAAAAAAAAAAAAATCTAATCCTGAATAGTTAAAGTAAGATATACATCCACTTTATAGAATACTATACAGCTTTTTTTTTTTTAAATTAGAGAGTGTTGTTTATCTAACAAGGAAGAAAACACACACACACACACACACACACACACACACACAAGCATCTGCATAAGGCAACACTGAAAGGACATACAAGAAAATATGGAAAGAGGTGGGAGCAAGACTCTACATTAGCTGCCTTCCAGTAGCATTCTGTTTTCACTCACATAAGCATATGACCCATTCCAATAATAATAAATTAACAAGACAGTTGACATGAGAAAAAAGAATGAGTTGAATCCATAATTGACCTAGAGGGAGGAATATGTTGTTAAAAAGGAAAAAAAAAAAGAATGAACGAACCAACACAGGAATGCATATGGCAAGATGCCATTCTCTTTAAAAAAAAAGAAAAGAAAACAACAGATAATACTATTTCATATGTGTTTATGTTTGTATGAGCAGAAAAAAAGGTGTGGAGGGAGCTATTACCACTTAAGGAGACCGCACTGGAGAGGGTGGATGAAGATCAGCCTTTTCTTTATCTGCATTTGAAATATTTAACTTGTAATATCCGGCATTTTTTTTTTCTGGTAACTTTTAAAATCTAATAAAGTATAACCAAAAAAAGCAATGTGCTATGAAAAGCTACACTGCAGGCCCTGCTGTTCCCGCCTGCTGCTATTAACCCAGCAGCAGCCTATCTCCAGATAAGAGGGAGGAGGGGTGTGGTCGTCTCAAGTCTCTGGAGGCAGCAGGCTCCAAGACTGGTCCTCAGCTTTGTAACCAATGTTCTTGCTTTCCCTTAACAAGTACTTATGGTATGAAATTCAAACAACATAAAAAGTTCCCTCCTGGCTTAGACCGAGGTCCCTGCCTCTCAGTTTCTTGAGGATCTCGCCAGAAATGCAGTTCCTTCAGCTTCCAGGACTGAACCTCACTGTGACAGAATATATCAAGGGCTGATTTCACTCAGGAAAAATAATGAATCCAACTCACAGGAGAAAGAAGTACAAACCAGAAACCAATTTCAAATTACAAGGACCAGAATACTCATGTTGGCTGGCCAGTGCATTCTCTCCCCTTGAAGAAAGTCCACATGGGAAGCCAAATTGCTACTAGAGTGCTGGATGAGACTGAAATGAGAGCAAGAGAAGTCAGATGGCATAAGCACTCACTGGCAGTTAAGTAACACCACAGCACCCAGCTCTACCAAGAGGGCTGAGGCTCAACAGCAGCAAGGCCTGGAGACACTGGCTCTTTACCTCCCCCTTTTTGAAGATGTCAAGTAGCTCTCCTCCTACCTGAAAGCAGAGATGCTTCTGATGTCAACAACAGGAATTAACTTACAAACAGAACCACATTCACTAAAGTCATCACCCCACCCAGCTGTTTCAGGAAAACACAGTTCTGGCCCTTATTTAGGGAGAAAAATCTTATACTGCTGCCCTAGGTAACAAAAACCATTTGAACAATCCCAGCTCCTTACCTTGGCTAGCCCGGCCCGATGAGCTCCTTGGGATTCAATGTAGGCAATGTATCTACTGAAGTTTCGGAACTCTTCCATAGTTGGATAAAAGGTCATTATCCTAGCACTGGGATTCAGAGTTTCAGAATCAGAAGCCATTTTCCCTCCTTTTTCAGGTCCCTTTAGTCAGACAGAAATCTGAAGAAACACATTAAGAGTTTAAAATGATATAAAAATTAAAATTAAGGGCTGAATATCAATGTTGAAAACAGTAAAAGGTAATACAGAAATTCAGAAGAAGCAGTTAAGACTTCACATCTGGAATCTGCCTCTAGAAAAGTTAAGTAAGTCAGGGCGTGGAGGCTCAGGCCTGTAATCCCATCACTTTGGAATACTGAGATGGGTACATCGCTTGAGCTCAGGAGTTTGAGACTAGCCTGGGCAACACAGTGAAACTCTGTCTCAAAAAAAATTTTTTTTTAAATAAAACAACAGCCAGGCATGGTGGCGCGTGCCTGCAGTCCCAGCTACTCGGGAGTAGCTGGAGGCTGAGGCTGGAGGATCTCTTGAGCCCAGGAGTTCTGGGCTGTAGTGCGCTATGCCGATCGGGTGTCCGCACTAAGTTTGGCATCAATACGGTGAACTCCCAGGAGCAGGGGACCACCGGGTTGCCCAAGGAGGGGTGAATCGGCCCAGGTCATAAATGGAGCAGGTCAAAACTCCTGTGCTGATCAGCAGTGGGATCGCACCTATGAATAGCCACTGCACTCCAGCCTGGGCAATATAGCCAGACCGGGTCTCTTTTTTAAAAAAAAAAAAAAAAGGGCCGGGCGCGGTGGCTCAAGCCTGTAATCCCAGCACTTTGGGAGGCTGAGACGGGTGGATCACGAGGTCGAGAGATCAAGACCATCCTGGTCAACATGGTGAAACCCCGTCTCTACTAAAAATACAAAAAATTAGCTGGGCATGGTGGCGCAGGCCTGTAATCCCAGCTACTCGGGAGGCGGAGGCAGGAGAATTGCCTGAACCCAGGAGGCGGAGGTTGCGGTGAGCCGAGATCGCGCCATTGCACTCCAGCCTGGGTAACAAACAAGAGCGAAACTCCGTCTCAAAAAAAAAAAAAAAAAAAAAAAATCTCTTTTTAAAAAAAAAACAACAACAAAAGAAAAAGTTATTTTAAAAAACTAGAACTACAGATCGAAAAGGTACTGTTTAAAAAGAACCTGATGTATCAAAACTGCAGGGATGCAAAGCTCACTTCAACAGAGACATTGTTATTGCAACAGAACTGTTCTTGAAAGGAAAAAAACCCAGACATTATTTCAGCTAAAAAAGGGAAACTAATGATTTGGTTGTTGGTCCTACCTAATAGTACAGCTAAAATGCCCATATCTTACCCTTATCCTTTCAAGTTACTCCCTTATTAACACCTTGCTAATCGCTTCTCAGAGTATTAAACATAATATACTACCAACTGACTTTAAAAGCCACCCATGGCTGGGCCTGGTGACCTGGACCTGTAATCCCAGAACTTTGGGAGGTGTAGGCTCCTTCCTAGGGTACAGCTTTAAAACGGATACCTAATAAAGGATACCTAATAAAAGTTACGTGGCTACAAGATAACAGAACTTAAGGGTTCAAAAGTACTTTGATATTAGTAACATGATTTTAAAACCCTTTGATACTAGTAACATAATTTTAAAACCCTAAAGTGAAACTGTTCTATCTAAACTATTCTGCAGTTTCAGCACTACTTAAATGAAATCAAGCTACAGACTAGTTCAATTGCACTGTATCCAGAACTCAAAAAGGACAAAATTTAAGCTGGCAATAGAGGACAAACTTCATAACTGACTGGAGAAAGCAAAATAAATATTTTGTTTTTAGATGAGAACTTCAGCTAAGTGGGTGCATCCCCACAGCTCACTAACACAATAGACCATCTCAACCGAAAAAACACAAAGCATACTAGTTAAACTAGGCCATTCTAAAAGAACACTAGTATGTCCTTTCCCTTCCCCAACCTCCTCACCGAGGGTCCAGCAGTTCTCTACCCTCTTATCTGGGGCCCAAAACTATGGTGGTTCAGCTCCAAGAATCTCTTTGAGAGCTGGAGAGTTCAGAAAGGAGAAAATTGCCTCCAGTCTACCAGAAATCTAGTGACAGACCTAGGAGCAGAACTATGTAAGGTAGGAAAGAAGGCAAATCCGGTTACCGTATCTCCTAGTCTTCCTTTCCATCAACAATAAGGCGTGTTTCTAAGCAGGCGCTTTCCATGAACCTGGCAGAAACTTTGCATGGCCGGTATACTGTTATCCCTGTTTTACATACCAGGAAATCTGCCCACAGTCCACTCCTGGTGCACCTTCCATTGCTCCATTCTGCTTACATCCTAATCTCCACCTGGATGGACTAAGTCCTTTGCAAGGGCAGCTCCAAAAATGGAGAAAACCCAAGTTTATTTAATTTTGAGGACTCTCTTAAAAAAAAAAAAGAATCCAAAATATCTTACTTTTGCAAATTTTATAAAGACATATACAATCATGTGAATACAATGTTGGGGCCCCTCCCCAGGCCTTCAGAGAGGCCCTAAAGGGCTTCATCAGCCTCTGGCCCTATTCATCTTTGTATGCCTAGAACAATACATGACACAGAATAAGCACTCGGTAACTGTTAAAAAACTGATTTCCTCACGCTCACCTCAGTTGTTCATCCCTTCTTCCAGCCTAGGATTCCCTTCCCCCAATCTATTCCCTGGGGAAACCTTCCCTCCGCATCAGTAACAAAGCCTAGTGATTCAAGAACACTGGCTCCGGAGTCAAAACTCTGAATACAGATCCGGTCTCTGCCGTTTATTAACTGTGTGACCTTGGCTGTGTGAGATGACTGGGTCTCAGTTTCTCCACCTGTAAAATGGGGATCCCAACCCCCTGGTCGCTGTGATTAGCTCAGATGATGCAAGCGAAACCCTAGCACTAGGCCCGGTACTTAACCACTCAATAAAGCTAGCTTTTGCTACCAGCCCCCTCGGACTCCTGCACCCTTCCCTCGCAGCCGCTCCCGCGAGCATCACTCCAAAGGCAGCGCCCCCTGCTCCCCAAGATCCCCGAACCTCACCGCACACAGGTACAACCCCTCCCGGCCCCGCCGCCTTGGCGAGTGAGGCTCGACCGCAGGAAGAAGAAAATAAGGGCCAGAGGACCCGCCCCCCTCTCCCGACGTCCATTGGCCCTGAAGATTGGAAAGGGCCAATCCCAGAACCCATTCTGGAAGCTCCTTCTCCTATTGGCCGAGAAATATGCCGATCACTCACCGCTGGAAGAAACACCCCACCACCCCTCCCCCACCAAAACTCACGGTCACGGCTACAGCAGCAACGAACCTCAAGAATTCCAAAACCCTATAGTCCTCACCTAAAGCCCAAAGCCCCGCCAGGGCTTAGGCCCAGTTCCTGCTGTCGCCACTGGCCGATCCTACAGCTTTTACAGCAGGCGAAGGACGAAGCTCCGCCTTCTCTAAAGTCGGCATCTGCGCAGCCGCACAGCGCTTCACAGAGTCAACCAATCCAAGGACGGCCGCAAGCCCTACATCAACCAATGAGCACTCGCCGCGGCCTCCTCCCAGTTGCGACCACAGTGTGCGCAGCCTATGAGCGCCGACTCGGGCTGTTGCCAGGAGGAAACGCTGTACCACTAGGGACCGCGGCCAGTGAGCCTCTAGCTGGATCCCGAAGTTGGCCAATCATAGGCGGGCTCCCTGGCCACCCATAACTAATCAGGGTTGAAAGAAGCTAGTACCTGGAAGTGGGCCGGTCGGGTAGGTGGGTAAGGCCGGTAAGGTTACTATAGGATGTCGCTAAAGAAAGGATGGGCCAAAGTTTTCTTGGGATGAGTATTCGCTTTGCGGAACGTGGAAATGTGTCGGAGTCCTTAGGGACAGCTTCCGAGCTCAGGGAGTGCTGAAAAGATTACTTTTCCTGGTTTGTCCCGGGTGTCTCGGTTTTCAAAACAAAATCCTGTGTCCTTGGAAACCCCTGCCTCGCTGGCAAGCCTGGACAGGGAGGGGAAGATGCCCTGAGGGTTATTAGGACACACCCTGAGGGAGGCTGTATTTAGGGTCATTAAAAAGCAGTTCCTCAGTGAGCGGGGAATTGGGGGATCATTAGGAGCAGCTCTTGGGGCCGAGAGGGAGGCACCCTGGGAATCAGAAGGGGCACTTCTGGAGGGCAAGAGGGCTTCCTAGAAGTCATTAGGAGCGGTTCCTGAGTCGTCTTAAGGAGTTCCCAGATTGTCAAGGGTGATAGAGAAGGTCAAGTAGGCATGTAAAATACCTACAACCAGAGTCATAAAAAATGCACAAAATTACCATGGACGAATAATCGGTAGCGTCCTGGAAAGAGCTATACGGAGTCAGGCCTGTGTTCAAAACCATTAACTTCGGCCGGGCGCGGTGGCTCAAGCCTGTAATCCCAGCATTTTGGGAGGCCGAGGCGGGTGGATCACGAGGTCAAGAGATCGGGACCAACCTGGTCAACATGGTGAAACCCCCATCTCTACTAAAAATACAAAAAATTAGCTGGGCATGGTGGCACGTGCCTGTAATCCCAGCTACTCAGGAGGTTGAGGCAGGAGAATTGCCTGAACCCAGGAGGCGGAGGTTGCGGTGAGCCGAGATCGCGCCATTGCACTCCAGCCTGGGTAACAAGAGCGAAACGCCGTCTCAAAAAAAGAAAAAAAAACAGTAACTTCTGAGCCTGGGAGTTCACCTCAATAAAATGGAAAAAATAATGCCTCACAGGATTTGGTAAAGATGAGAGTTAATGCCGGCAAAAAGAACACATTACATAGAACGCTATGGACTTATGGTAAGGACCAGTCATGATTTATGCCTCAGGCTGGGTACATGCCTACTGAAAAAAAAAAATTTAAAAAAACAGTTTCAAAAACAGAAACGACTGTTTCAAAAAGAATGGCCGTTGGCTACACAGCCACAAGTCTTTCACAACAATTACAGTGTTTTTCCCTCTTGACCCAATAAGGTAATCGACAGTATTAGATAATAGATTATACTGAGTGGTTCACAAAATTGCCGAGTCTGAAGAATCCAATTTGGAGGACACATAAAGAAGAAAACCCAAATCATGCAGTAGAATTCATCCACCACTGTCCTTGCTGCTGCCACTAAGCACAAGATATTGCAGGTTGCTTCACAGACTCCACTGTCCTGGACATGGATACAGTTGCTAGCGCCACTGTCACTATGTTCCATAAACTGGATCTTGCTATATTTCCCAATGCTGCCAGATGATTTCCAAGGCCCTCTCTCTACTGCGTATCACTAGCTTCCAATTGGTATGTGCACGTGATAGGTGGAGCCTAAATCAAGGTCTGTTGACACGCTCCCATTTCTCTGACCAGTTTGCCTCAGTTTCCTTTTTAGGCTCACCTTTCCCTTTGCACACATTTTTTTTTTTTTTAATTTTTGAGACAGAGTTTTGCTCTTGTTGCCCAAGATGGAGTGCAGTGGTGCGATCTTGGCTCACTGCAACCTCTGCCCTCTAAGGTTCAAGTGATTCTCCTGCCTCGGCCTCCTGAGTAGCTGGGATTACAGGTGCCTGGCACCACACCCGGCTAAGTTTTCTGTATTTTTAGTAGAGATCAGGTTTTATCACGTTGGCCAGGCTGGTCTTGAACTCCTGACCTCAAGTGATGCACTCCAGCCTGGGCAACACAAGTGAAACTCTGTCACAAAAAAAAAAAAAAGACCAAGCTGGGCGCGGTGGCTCACGCCTGTAATCCCAGCACTTTGGGAGGCCGAGGTGGGTGGATCACAAGGTCAAGAGATCAAGACCATCCTGGTCAACATTGGTGAAACCCCGTCTCTACTAAAAAATACAAAAAATTAGCTGGGCATGGTGGCACGTGCCTGTAATCCCAGCTACTCGGGAAGCTGAGGCAGGAGAATTGCCTGAACCCAGGAGGCGGAGGTTGTGGTGAGCCAAGATCATGCCATTGCACTCCACCCTGGGTAACGAGCGAAACTCCATCTCAAATAAATAAATAAATAAATAAAAACAAAATAGAAGTGAAGTCTCCCTATGTTGCCCCAGCTGGTCTTGAACTTCTGAACTCAATCACCCTGCCTTGGCCTCCCAAAGTGCTGGAATTTACAAGCATGAACATGCCTGGCTGTGAAAATTAATTGATCTGTATGCTTGAAAGTTGTGCATAACCATATATATATGGTTTTTAAAACTAAATTTTAAAACTTTTAGTTAAAAAAAAAAGGAAAAATGGGTCGGGTGTGGTGGCTCACGCCTGTAATCCAAGCACTTTGGAGGCCAAGGCGGGCGGATCACCTGAGGTAGGGAGTTCAAGACCAGCCTGACCAACATGGTGAACCGCCGTCTTTTAAAAAAAAAAAAAAGAAAGAAAGGAAAATCATGATGCCCTCGGGACTTTCTATCCTTTGCCCTCTTCTCTCATTTGACACAGTCGCCTCAGGTGCTTTTGTTTTATTTTATTGTTTTATTTGAGATAGTGTCTCCCTCTGTCACCCAGGCTGGAGTGAAGTGGTGCATTCGCAGCTCACTGTAACCTCAACCTCCTGAGCTCAAGCAATTCTCCCACCTCAGCCTCCCAAGTAGCTGGGACTCCAGGCACACGCCACTATGCCCAGCTAATAGTTGTAGTTTTTTGTAGAAACAGGGTTTTGTCATGTTGCCCAGGTGGGTTTTGTCTTTTTTTATATAGCTGCCCACATACAGGTGTTTCTGGCTCTACAACTCACTAGCAACTTACTTAATTTCCCTAATCCTCAAGTTTTCTTATAACTAAAACTGGGATAGTAGGATAGTACTTCCCTTTCTGGGTGGAGAATTTAACGAAATAAATGAAGTAATGGGGTAATGAAGTGAAGCAGTTAGAAGCCTAATTGGCAAGTAGTAAGTACTCAGTAAATGTTAGCTCAGTAAATGATGATGGTACAAAGCTCTTAGCACAGAGCCTGAAACAAGAGCTCTCAATACACTTTCGCTCTTAGGCTGCAGTCATGTGCACACTGATGACACCCATTGTATACCCCAGCACATCCCCCGGAGCTCAGATCCATGTACCTTGCTGTCTCCGGATCCCTGATCCCTCCCCCTAGCTGACCCACAGATACTTAAAACCAACAAAGAACTACTCTTGTCCCACAAATAAGCTGTACCTCCTAGGTTTCCTATCTTAGTGAGTGGAAGAGCCATCACCTAATTGCCTAAGCCTACCACAGTCCATTACCTCACCCTGTACAGAGCTCCACAAAGCAAGTATTTTACAAATACATGGATTTGTTTACATGTCCATCTGTTCCCATTAGACGAAAGTCTCTGGAGAATATCATTTTGGTCTTATTGGTAATACCATTTAGGAATGTGTTCCATTGCCAAAAATAGAAAACTCTAGCAAAAGTGGCTTAAATACAAGTTTATTTTCTTTTTTTTTTTTTTTTTTTTTGAGACGGAGTTTCGCTCTTGTTACCCAGGCTGGAGTGCAATGGCGCGATCTTGGCTCACCGCAACCTCCACCTCCTGGGTTCAGGCAATTCTCCTGCCTCAGCCTCCTGAGTAGCTGGGATTACAGGCACGCGCCACCATGCCCAGCTAATTTTTTGCATTTTTAGTAGAGACGGGGTTTCACCAAATTGACCAGGATGGTCTTGATCTCTTGACCTCGTGATCCACCCGCCTCGGCCTCCCAAAGTGCTGGGATTACAGGCTTGAGCCACCGCGCCCAGCCTTCAGTTTATTTTCTCATGTGAGAAGAGGTCTCGAGGTGGAGAGCCTTAGCTCAGTGCTCAACGAAGTTATCAAAGCTACCGGCACATTCTGTCTTTCTCTAGCATCCTTGGTAATTACGTGGCTTTGGCCACCCTCTTGTGCAACTTGTGTTGTAAAGTGACTGCTGCAGCTCCAGAAGGAGGACAAGGACAGTGTCCTGTTTTTTCTATCACAGCAGCAAAAACACTACCGGAATCTGCCCACCTGCCAGTAATGAGTGAAACAGACCCATCCCTGCCCTCATGTTGTTTATAATCTAGTGGGAGAGAGAGACAT